GGGTATTGTAGGAGAAGACAAGTGAAGATGACAACAGTGGTCTTCAAAAGGCTCGATGATTTCATCTATCTATCGCCCCTCTTCACTATGTCGTTCAACTACCACTAAACCTATCCCACTTTTTCCTCCCCAAAGATCCGGCGACACCCCAAAGAAATAAATACCACTAACCACACCCCAGCTCACCCATCCCCATTCTCTTCCCCTAGCTCACACAACTAGAATCACCGGTGGAATCGTCAACACTAAATCGAGAAAGAAGGTAGAGAAAAAGAAAAGATTTGACCCAGGCAGATCGACATTTCCAGGCCGATTCGACTGGAATAAGGTGTGATGTTGGTGGGGATAAAGAAAAACGGAGCACCGGTTCAGGTTGGGGTTTGTTGCTGGAGAACTGGGCAGAAGAGGGAGTTGATGGGGAAGGGCAGTGATTATCGCATCCACAAGTCGATGATGACAATAAGCAGACGACAGTAGTTGGGAGATGTAATCCAAATCGATGGCGCTAGGGTTTCTAGGAGGTGGTGTCGTCGTCGGAGTCGATGGGTAGTATGTGATGCAGCGACGGTCGATAGTGGATATGAAGGGGGTTGTGAAGGTGGAGGTCGGAATAAGGGAAGGGGACTGGTGGTGTACGGTGGGTATTTTATAAGAGAGAGAGAGAGAGAGAGAGAGAGTATTTTATTTTTGTTTTATTTTTAATTGTTGTAATAAAAGAAAAATGTAAAATTAAATAATAAAGGGCAAATCTGTGATTATAAACAAGTTCATAGGAAATTGGACCAAACTCGCAACAAAACGAAACTATTGGACCATCTTTGCAAGCCAAACCCATTTTGGACCAAAGTTGCTAGTTTTGACATACCACAGGGACCATTTTTGCAATTTTGTCTAATATAAATGATATAAATATTTTCAATAACATAAGATTACCAAAAGTTATAATTTTATTCTACACAACCTACAGATATTCATTTAGTTCTCTTATAAAGCACACAAATAAGTTAAGAGACCGAATGAATAAATTTGAAATACATTGTTGGACTAATATATTATTTTTCATCTTTATAACTAATGTAAAATTTTAATAGTCTTGTTAGGAATTTGATGTCATGATTTTGAACCAAGTTAAATTGGGTTATATGAATTTATTTTTGGCCTCCCTAATTTTCATACTCGTGTTCTGCCCTAGGAGATGACCTTAGCACAAGCTTGGTTGGTCATACCCCAAGATAATGTCAACGCAAACAACCAAACCTCCCAAACGTTTTGGGAGCGGATTTTGGACCATTTCGACATGAACATGGGTAAGGGGGTTATATAATAAAGTTATATAATAATATGTAGTGGTGAATATACCTATGCATGTGGTGGGGATGTTATGATAAGATTTCGCTCAAACAACAATATTTTTTATGCGGTGATATGAAATATATACCTGATAGCTTAACAATATTCATTACAAAAGAAATAATTATTTTGTGATATAAAAAGTTGTTAATCATTTATTAAATACACTTGTGCGACATTTTTTTTTTTTTTTTTGTAACTTTCCCTTCTGTTTTCATGTGAGACATGATATTTTGTATTTTTCCCTATTTTTTCAATTAATCCAATGATTATTGTATTAGTATGTGACTTTGTCTGCAGGTCTTACACGTATCATGTTCAATCCTGACTTAAAACATTATTTAGTATATAATATTACATAGGATATTAAAATATGTAGAATCAGTAAGAATACTAATATTACATAGGCTATTAAAATATGTAGAATCAGTTAAGAATTAATTTAATTATGCCTAAATCTACTCACATATCCTAACTTTATTAAAGTTGCCAATTATTACCCATACAAATTATTCCTTTCCCCGCGTCTTACCTTAAAATATTGTTAATTTGTTGTTTTCACATCCTAATAAATTAGAGGTTACTTGTTCAAGTTCTCTTTTTTGTCTTAACTTTTTTGATAATAATAATAATAATAATAATAATAATAATAATAATAATAATAATAATTATTATTATTATTATTATTATTATTATTATTATTATTATTATAAAATAACCAAAAAATGGGATACATATTTAAGAAAGTATCCGGTTTTGATGTATAACTCGAATAACCACTTATTCCATAGCGAGACCACCGTGATAATATGATTATATTAGATTTCATAATATTATCCACAATTATCTATATTTAGTTTGTATCTACCTCCATTGTATGAGGTGGTAGATCCTTTATTTTAGCTTCCCTTTATTATTAGGTTGTTTTAGATTGCTTTTGCTATCTATATATACTTCTCCTCTCCTCTGTAATTTTTTTTTTTGATGATCAATAACAAAGAATTAGAATTCTTTATGGTATCAGAACTGGTTCTTCCACCGCTCACGTAACATCTCAAAATCAAAGTAAAATTTTTCATTTCTAAACCAATCCAAAATTCACAAATATTATAAAATCATAGTTTCCAAAAGTCATAAAACAAGAATTAGGGTATTCCCAAAATCATAACCTCATAAGAATCTAGGATGATGTGTATGATTAGGCATTCTACTTGCTCTTATAATCTAAAGTATCTAAAACCATAAACTCAAATTGTATGCCAAAGCTTAGTGAGTTTCTCCCAAAATACCATCACACAACATATAACAACATGCATACTAGGTCCACATTCATCGAACTGGATTACCCTTGAACCCAACAACACGAGTCTGGTTTGCCCACCTGACCCATAACTCATGTATGGATTGCTCATGAGCCCACATCATAAGTTTGGTTTGCCTTTCCGGCCCTCACCTTATGTTTGGCTTACTCCTGAGCCCACAACATAAGTCTGACATGACTTTATGGCCTACAACTTATGTATGGTTTGCTCTCAGGTTTGTTGGCTTCCGCACAGAGCAATATTGCCTCATCCCAACCGCAGTATGTCGACATATGCAACAGATAAAACATTTAACAGCAAAGAGATAATCATGCAGATCTTATAAGATTACTACAACATAACAACCTCCTAAACCAGGATACATAACCTAGTAGGCTGCCATTGGTGCATTCGACCCACAAGTACAGTGAGCAAAACTCACCTCACTGTCTGAAAAATAGCTGAACAAATCATTGCTCCAAATTTTAGCTCTATCGGTCACCTATACAAAAAATAAGGACCTAATCTCAAACAACTATTCAAATTACCCAAAATACCCTTAGGTCAAACTTGGTCAAATCTGTGAGAACAAGAATCAATGCGCAGATAAAGTTCGAAAACTCAAACCTTGAATTAACCTTAAAGATCAATGTCTGCTTCTAATTAGTTAGTTCAGTCTAGTCTAGTAAACTAGTCAAGACTTGAAGATAATATTCAATAAAGTATTCAAGTGAAAAATAAAGAAAGATTAAGTATAATCAAAGTAAAGACAATTCAAAATAAGTAGAATGTAAGTGAAAGAAATTGACTTACAAGAGAGTTTGAATTGATGTGAAGAGAATATCGAATACTTCTATTCTTAGTTATTAATTCATGAAACATTCACTCCTTAAATAGTAGAGGAGGAACAATGTACAAACCGAAATACAATCTAGGGACTAGTTAATACAATGAGTTTGACAAATCTGATACTTAAAAGATTTGCTGAAAAAATCCTAAGAACTGTTACATCAACAAAAGACAAAAAGCATTAAATGCTTATACAGACTCTAACTTCATATATACTTCATCTCGGATAAAAAAAGGGCTTCGGATCTACTTCACATATCGGAATTAAGTGGCTTTGGATTTTCTTTGATTTGGATTGCTAGAGTGTATTAACAATCTCCTCCTAAGTGAACTTAGCAATCAGTCAACTCAGTTGACATCTTTAGATATAAAAAGGTAAGCATTGTGGAGCCAACTTCAGACTTCCAAATACCAGTTAAGGTGTTCAATGAACTTCTTCTTCACAGGCTCAGGAGCATCACTTTTGGTAGCATTGGTGATAAACTTTTGGAGGATGTTTGAAGGAATGAGATGTTTATCAAGAGCTTGGAAGAATTCTTTTTGGTTAGTCTTCTTCAGATAGACGTATTTGAGCTTCAGTCAGTTCATAATTTAGCTTTTCCAACACATTTTCAGTTTTGAACAAGTGTGGAAACTCGACGTTGGACCTACAGAATTCAACTACATAGTCCTTCAGGAAGTTCATGGCAGTAGTTTAGGCTCCGATGCTCGAGTGATTGGATTTACGATCTCTAGGATGAGCAGCAATTATGAGAATATCATTGGGGTTGATAGATGGAAAGTCAGCATCCGTGGTTGTGATTATAATTTCATCGAACTTGTTGTTTGGAACGTCGACAATGTTCGAACAAGCTCGGAGCAATTTGATTAGGACCGTTGCATTATCAAGTTGAGTTCATCCTTCTTCTTAAACTCCTTCTCCAACTGTTGGATTTGTTTTTCATGATGCACATGAGTTTGTTTGATCAAATCATTGGTTGCATTGATCATGTCGTCGTGGATTTTGAGCATATTAGTGGTGGTGGAGATGTGGTGATCAAGTCCGTCATTATACTTGTGTTCAACTTCCTCCGAAGTATGCTTGAGTCTGAGAGAGATGAGTTGATCAATTTGATTCACTCTTTTGACTTCCAAGGGGCTAGTTTTGTTAATCTTGGAAAGATATTTAAGAATAACATCAAGTTTGGATTCGAGATTGGTGACTTTTTTATCAAGCTTTGAGTCGAGTTGAGCCACAATTTTATCAAGAGAGTCGACCTCGGAGAAAGCACTTGCCACATTGTCTCAGATTTCCAGTAGGGAAAACAGATCGACAATGCTCTCATCCGAGGAGCCGGCATCCGAGGTGGAACTCTTAAACTTATCATCATTGTTATTACCACCTTTGGTATCATGTTATTTGGTAGGAGAGGGATATGTCTCGGTTTTGTTGCCTTGAGGGGGGTTTGTTTCTGTTTCATTTCCTTGAGTATCTCGAATTTGGTCATCAAATTTGATCTCTTATTCTTCTTGTTCTGATGAGGATGTGGAAATGTCGAAGTTATTAACCGGATTGGAAGAGGATGGTTTCTGAAAAGACTTGAAAGCTGAAAAGATGGGAAGAGCACTAATGTAAGCATTATCGTCATCAAACATGAATTCTGTTAAATGTTCTTTATATGATGGAGGCTGGAAAGCTTCAACATGTGGAGACTTCGGAGGAGAATCATCTGAGATGATTGTTGTATTGTGAGCTTCTCCTGTAGCTGTAGTCTGGGATATTTCGGAAGAGACAGGCTCATAATTTGTTTCATCATCAGTTGGAGTTGAAAATGGCAAGTTGCTTTGGATGGCCCTATTACGCATGGAGATAAGGGTGTACTCCACTTGATCTCTTTACAGCTCCAAATGATAAGTATGTGCCCTGTCAACAAAGTCATTCCAGTGTTCATCAGTAGTACCTAATCGTCCTTTACATGAACAAGGTATGATACCAGTTGGGGATCTGGAAGTCGGAGGGACAACTCCAGCTTCCGAAAGCTTAGAATCTGATGCAATAGCCCCAGATTGTACATGTGTAGAAAAAGGAGGAATGTTTGAAGAGACATATGAGTGTGTTCCAGGGGGCTTCAAGGAACTTTGTTCAACACATGCACCATCATTTTGGAAGATGGAGGTGGATTATGTGCAAACTCCATGTGAGTGTGTGCCTGTGGTTTTAAAACTTCGAAGGGTACTTTGGAAGAGTAGACAAGTGGGGTTATCAGATGTCCAAAGTCAGACGGAATGTCAACGTGTGATTCCTTTTGAGAGGAACCACTGACTTTGGTTCTCTTTTTGGCTGGAGCTTTGGTGGGTGATGTTTTTCATTTTACCATCTTTTTCTTTCGGCCACCAATGGAGACTAGTTTGTTCACATCCGACGGCTGTTGTTCATTTGAGACCGGGGCAGATTGTCTTGGTTCATACACAATCGAGGCCTCTAAATGATGTTTGAGAAAAAGAGAATATGATGAAAGTGTTGCCAACATGTGTTGTGGCAACCTATGTATAGGTCCAAAAGAAGTTTGGTTCAGAAGGCTACAGGTTTTAATGGCCTTGAAAGAAAAATATACCTTTTAGGTTTGGTGTCGATGGGGATGCATTCTCTTCTTATAAAGTTGTTGGAGGGTCAAAGCCCAGAATCTTGGACTCGATATTTCATTCGGCTTCCTTTTGATGGCAAACTTTAGAAAGTCCTTCCATAGGACCTCGATCAAGTCAACAACGTTGCTTCAACTTGAATATATGCTATACACAACGTATAGCCAGTACTTTCTCATGGTTTCAGTTTCACCATGTTTCCCTGATAATCCTTGAAGGATGAAATGCATCAACACAGTCCAAAGTCTGGGAACCGCCGATTTCTTGAACTTTTGGCTTTGAACTCAGTGTTATACCCGATTTCATTCAGAAAGGCCTAAAACTCATCAGAAGAGGGTTCCTAAACTTGAAAGCCCTTGGGGTTTTCTGGGATACCAATATCCTTGAGGAATGTTTGCTTCCGTATAGGGACGAACCTGTCACCTGTGATTTTGGTCTCAATAACACCATCTTCAATCTCGATTCTTTCAAAGGAGGTGAATAATGTGTAATGTAAGTTGAGGGTTTGGATTTTTAGTAAGTGCAACAGCAATGGGGTAATGGGGGATGATCATTACTTGAATGGATTCATCGTAATCTATGGGGTCGAGTGAGAAAAGTTGGGTAGTTTCTCTTAGGATCGGTTCAATCGATGACGAGGACACATAACCCTTTGAAGATTTCTTCTTTGTTGCAGGATTTTAGGTTTCACAAACATTTTGAGTGGAAGCCATTGTTAAAGGTTTAAATGCTTGAAGAACAGTTGTATAGAGAAATTTCAGGAAAAAGATGAATAAAGCATAAAAGAGGAATAGTTGGCATTTAAACTCCTTTTATAGGTTGGATTTTCGGGTCTGGTTAGAAAGAAAGTAATGATGACACCCGCAGGAAAAATGGGTCGCATTTAATGTGTTGCTAAAATTCCTACTTTTAAAAATTGCAAGTGCGAAAGATGGGATGACTATACGTGCAAAAAGGAAAAATCGTCATTTCAGTTTAGTTCATATGCACTTTGTCGAGACGTGTGCAAAAGCACGGTTATAGAGGATTAAAGGATAGTCATCAAGAAAAATTACCATTAATTGAATTGAGAAAAACATTTCGGAAATAAAAAACTTTAATGAAAACCTTTGAACTCCATTTTATAATTGAGGATCTCGGAATAAGCAAATTCTGAGATAAGATGTCATAAGATATTTTCAAAAGAATATGAACACGTCATTAGTACATGATATAGAGTTCAAGATGGCGCAATCTTAGACTGAATATCAGAGGTGAAATGTATGAAGATCTTAGAGGACCATTTTAAATAGATTGAGATTCCAATACATGAACGATTAGAGCTCGGATAAGGGTAAAAGATGAACCATTACCGTTTTAGATTGAATTCTGAGGTGAACTTCATAACACTTCATTATAGAATAGACTAGGCGAATGCCCACGCGTTGCGTAGAAACACCTATATAGTTGAAATCTTTACAAATATATGTTTTTTTTAATATAACAATTACGTTGTTGTTAAATTTGAGATAATAATTTGTATACTAAATTAATATAAAAATATTGATTATTTTGAATTATATAATAATATATACATCTATTATAACTGTATAATCTCAACCATTTGAATGACTTCTACTTGCGAGTTACTTATGAATAAAATTAAATATAATATATAGGTTAATGTTATTTATAGTTTTTGTTATTGATAATTAATTTTTAAAAATTTATTTTCTTAACGTTTTAATTTCTATCATTATAATTATTTAAAATATCAGACATTGTTTTTTATTTTAAAGGTAAAAATATAATCATTTATATAGAGTTATTTTTAACTATTATTATTGTAAGTTATTTTAAGCTACTTCTTTGAAAACTTTTAACGATTATATAAATATCTTTAGGAAATATTTTGATTAAATTGATATTATAATTTAATTTTTTTTTCATTTAGCACTATAATTTATCATTTTTAGCTATTCACAAAATATTCATTGGATTTTTTAAGTGGATATTAAAGTTGACACTATAATGTTATATTTAAATTAACAGTTTAAGTATTTTGTCCAAAATGTTCCAAAGTTGTAGCTTTAAATTGATAATGGTTTATATACAACAACATATTAAATCTAATAAATTAAGTATAATATGTTAAAAGTTAAAGACATAACTTTATAAGTAGAAGTAAATACATTATTTTAATATTAAAATTTAGTTTATTTAATATTACACTTTAGGTTTGATATTTATTTAATCTTATTAACCAAATTATAATAGTTATTAGAAAGACACTATAACTCATCACTTTTAACTATTTACAAAATATTATTTGGGTTGTTTAAGTTAAACTAAAATTTATATTTAAGTTGGTCCCGTAATATTATATTTAAGTTTATAATTTAGATATTTTATACAAATTGTTCAAAAGTTGTAACTTTAAAATGATAATAGTTTACATCCGACAATATATTAACACTAATAAATTAAGTGTAATATGTAAAAAGTTAAAAACATAGTTTTATAAGGAGAAGTAAACATATTCTTTTAATATTGAAATTTAGTTTATATATGATTACACTTTAGGTTTGATATTTATTTAATCTTATTAACCAATATATAATCATTATTATAAAGAAATTGAAAAGTCATTGGAGTTTCAAACGAATTTGGTAAAAGGCAAAATGCATGGGAGTTACACATGAATGTGGTGAAAGAAAAAAATGTTTCCTTTATAATATAGTATGATACGATGATTAAGCGAATGTCTGCGCGTTGCGCAGAAGCATCTATATAACTGAAATCTTTACAAATATATGTTTTTATACAAATTTATCACTTTTCACTATTTACAAAATATTATTTAGGTTGTTTAAGTTGAACTAAAGTTTATATTTAAGTTGATCCTATAAGGTTATATTTAAATTAACAATTTAAGTATTTTATATAAATTGTTCAAAAAAAATTAGCTTTAAAATATACATACAACAATATATTTGACCTAATAAATAAGTATAATATGTTAAAAGTTAAAAACATAACTTATAAATAGAAGAAAATATATTATTTTCATATTGAAATTGAGTTTATATATGATTACACTTTAGGATTTATATTTATTATTTTTACAAAATATTAAATCTAATAAATTAAGTATAATATGTTAAAAGTTAAAGACATAACTTTATAAGTAGAAATAAAAATATTATTTTAATATTGACATTTAGTTTATTTTTTATTACACTTTAGGTTTGATACTTATTTATCCTTATTAACCAATTTATAATCATTATTAGAAAGACGTTACAATTTATCACTTTTAACTATTTACCATATATTCTTTGGGTTGGTTAAGTTGAACTAAATTTTATATTTAAGTTGATCGTGTAAGGTTATACTTAAATTAACAAATTAAGTATTTTTATACAAATTGATCAAAAGTTGTGGCTTTAAAATGATAATGGTTTACATACAACATATTAGACCTAATAAATTAAGTATAATATGTTAAAAGTTACAAAAAACAAACTTTTTAGGAAGAAGAAAATATATTTTTTAATACTGAAATTTAGTTTATATATGATTACACAACTAACTTATAATATTTATTAGAAAGAAATTACAAAGTCATGGGAGTTTCAAAAGAATGTGGTGAAAGGAAAAAATGTATGAGAGTTTCAAATGAATGCGGTTCAAAAAAAATTCAAGCTTTATAAGTATACTAGGCGAATCCCCGCGCGTTGCGTGAGAATAGAATTATATAGTTAAAATAATAACTTTTACCAAATTATTATTTAATATTTATACTTTGAAACAAAATGTTAGTAGTAAATCAAACATATAGTTAACATATTAGTTTTATTAAACATTATAGTTTAATTTTTATATATATACAATTATTTGATAATTTTATAAACCATTTAAAATTATGTAAATTATATATCAAATGAATGATAATGTAACGGGTAAATAAATGTATGAGCAAAAATATGAACTGCAACTTTTAGTAATATAAAAATAAAAAAACATATATTATAACATCTGTATTAAAAAAGATATATATACAACGAATAATAAAAAATATGAAAAATAAACGCTATAACTTTTAATAACATAAAAACATTAAAACATCTATTATAACATTTATATTAACCCTTCGTATTTAAATTAGAAATATCTTTAAATACATTAATGTTTTTAATGCACAAAACTTTACAACCTTATAAAAGAAAGGAAAATAAAAAGTT